GGAAGGTCCCCTAGCCCTCATCTGGGAAACTAAAGACGGCAACCAATGGAGGTGTGGTTGCTGCCCGGCGCACCCCTGAAGACCCTCCCCCGCCCGAAAGTCCCAGTGGAGCAACACTACCTGCAGCGTGTGAGAGACACGAGCGGCATATCAGCACTAAGTTCCGTCCAAACCGCAACAGTACACCACGACAGACCTGCAACGCCAAAGTAAAATCGACCGATCTGGCAGTGAAAATCGACAACCTGGACGTAATTGCGTTGGTTGATACCGGTGCTGACTTCTCCGTCATGAGTGCGGTGTTCGCCGATCAGTTGAAGAAGGTGCTGACTTCGTGGGAAGGCCCGCAGGTACGAACAGCAGGCGGTCACGTCATAACACCAAAGGAAAGATGCACAGCTCGTGTGGATGTGTAAGGGCATACATACCCTACTGTTTTCGTCGTCCTGGACCAGCGCTCTCGGAACGTCATTCTCGGTGCGGACTTCCTTTCGGCAAACAAAGCAATCATAGATCTTCGAACGCAAACAATCACCCTGTCACCAGATACGGGCGTCACGCGAAATCCAAGTCCTGCATTATCAGCGGCGCTAATGATTCTCGACGAGCACGTCACATTGCCACCAAGCTCGAGTGCTGTCATCCCCGTGGGCGCTGACAGCTGCATCTGCGCGGAAGGTTTGGTCGAGGCCAACCAGAGTTTGCTCTATTGAAAAAGGTTTGGCTATCGCCAGAGGAATCATTCACATCGTTGAAGGAACCGTCAGTGTACTAATCACTAATTTCTGCTCGGAATATCGTCACCTTGCAAAGGGCACCACTGTGGCACTATTCGAGACCATCCCGGACATAAGCGATGTACTCACGATCGACGACGCACTCCATCCTCGCACACATGACGTGTTCTTTAACGTGAATCCGGCGTTGGCCCTGGAAAGACACGAAAGGCTGCGGAAACTGCTCTATAGCTACCAGGATTGTTTCGCCACGTCACCCAAGATCCGCCAGACAACGCTTGTGAAACATCGCACCATAACTGATGAAAATGTGCAACCAAGTCACCAATCACCGTACCGTGTGTCTATGAAAGAGCGCGAGGCAATCCGGAAACAGGTACAAGAAATGCTTCATGACAACATCATTGAGCCCTCCCAAAGCCTGTGGGCTTCCCCTGTAGTGATCGTGAAAAAAACGGGACGGCACTCCAAGATTCTGCGTCGACTACCGCCTACTCAATAAGGTAACGAGAAAGGACGTTTATCCGCTCCCTCGAATTGATGATGCCCTCAACCGTCTCTGCAATGCCAGATACTTTTCATCTATGAATCTAAGGACTGGCTACTGGCAGATGGAAGTTGACGAAAGGGATCGCGAAAAGACGGCGTTTATTACACCAGATGGACTATACCAGTTTAAAGTCATGCCATTTGGACTTTGCACTGCCCCTGCAACTTTCCAAAGGGTAATGGACACCGTATTGGCTGGTCTAAAATGGCAAACTTGTTTGGTGTATTTGGACGACGTCATAGTCTTCGCTCTATCTTTCGAGGAACACATCAGCAGGTTGAAAGTGGTACTTGATGCATTTAGGGCTTCAGGACTTACGTTAAAGCCCGAAAAATGCCGTTTTGCCTACGAGCAGCTGAAGTTTCTTGGTCACGTTGTCAGTTCTGCCGGCGTTCTACCAGACCCAGAGAAAACAGCTGCAGTTCGAGACTTCTTGCAGCCCCGCGAAAAGAAGAGCCTCCGAAGCTTCCTCAGACTTTGCACGTACTATAGGCGCTTTGTCAAGGACTTCTCGCAGGTTTCCGAGCCCCTGACACGTCTAACGAAAGAAGACAGCTCGTTTGTGTGGGAAGCACCCCAAGAAGAAGCATTTCGGGAGCTCAAAAGACTGTCTTCAAGCGCCCCCTATTTTGGCCCACTTTGACGAGAACGCGGGAACAGAAATCCACACCGACGCCAGCAGTGTCGGCCTCGGTGCCGTTCTTGTTCAAAGGCGAGATGGACGAGAGCACGTCATCGCCTACGCCAGTGCACAAGAACGGAAGAAAGCATTCCGACACAGACTGTCTGTCTCGAGCCCCGGTTGAGCAACCATCACCGTGTGCAGATGACGACGCCATTTTTCTGGGCATGATCACCACTTCCGACTTAGCCGCCCAACAACGGGCCAACCCTGAACTGAACTGTCTCACTGAACATCTTGAAGGAAAACGTACGGAGATACCCAAAACTTTTAGGCATGCTCTTCACACATTCTGCTTAAAAGACGGTGTCCTTTGAAAAAGAACTTCGACTCTAGGAAGAGCACCTACCTTCTCGTCGTGCCGTCGTCATTGCGTCAGGAAATCTTGCAGGCGTCACATGACGAACCAACCTCCGGGCATCTTGGGTGTACACGAACGTTTTCGTGGATCTGTGAACGTTACTACTGGCCGCACATTCTAGAAGACGTCAAGCATTACGTATGGACATGTTGAGAGTGTCAACACCGCAAGAGACCGCCAACAAAACCCGCTGGACTACTCCAGCCACTTCAACCCTCAACAAGGCCCTTCAAACAAATCGGAACGGACTTTCTGGGACCCGTTCCCGACGTCTACCGCAGGAAATAAGTGGATTATTGTGGCGACAGATTACCTGACTCGCTATGCAGAAACCCGCGCCCTTGCTCGAGCCACTGCTGAAGAAGCCGCCAGATTCTTCGTTCACCAAATTGTCCTGCGCCACGGTGCACCTCAGGTCGTTATCACTGACAGAGGGACAGCCTTCTGTTGCGAACTGATGCAAGCCATTTTGCGGTACAGCCCATCCCTGAGCTACCGCATAGCACCCGCAAACTAACGGTCTCACAGAACGGCTCAAGGAGACCCTGGAGGACATGATGTTGATGTGCGTCGATGTTGAACATAAAACATGGGATGAAGTGCTCCTATATGTCACCTTCGCGTATAATACGGCCGCCCGGGAGACAACCGGGTTGACACCATTCGCTCTTGTTTACGGACGGGAAGCGACAACGACTCTGGACGCAATGTTGCCGCATGTAAACGAAGGCGATTCGAACCCGGACGTAGCGATATTTCAACAACGCGCTGAAGAGGCCAGGCAGCTGGCTTGACTGCGAACGGCAACCAAGCAAGCTACGGATGCCCGACGCACAACCTGCGACACCGCCATCAGGAATACACACCCGGCGAACAAGTTTGGCTAAGGGCACCAGTTCGCTGACGAGGCCTCAGCAAAAAGCTTCTGCGGCGTTATTTTGGCCCCTACAAAATTGTTCCTCGCGTAGGGCCACTGATCTATGAAATCGTCCCGGATGGTGTGACAGACTCCCAGCGTCGACGTGTGCGGTCTGAAATTGTTCACGCCGTGCGTTTGAAACCCTATTATGCGAGCTAGCAGACATTATGTGCGCTTGTTCCTCTATCTTTTTTTTGTGAAAACTTCAGTGCTTTATGACTTCAGTGCTTGCTTTCAACATCGAGGCAATGTTTTTGAAGGGGGGAGCAATGCCACGTGCCATGCCGTTCTGCGCAGCTGCCACTATAGAGCGACAGCCGTCGCGTCATTTAGATAGGCTAGAGCGGACTGCGATTACCTTCCGATGGGCCCATCGTATCAGACAGTGCAGTATCTGATGATAGGTGTGCGCATGTTTTGTGTCGTCTTCTCAGCGCTTAAATAACTGGCAGCACGTAAGCTGTGGGTTGTTCTTTGGTGAAACGGCAGCTGTGCATGGGCAAGCCGCTCCGATCCTGTTAGTGTTTTTTTTTTGTGTGTCCTAAGCGAGAGGCACAAGTACGCCTCCTTACTAATAAACTTTGTCTGCCGCACCCTCGTCTTCTGTGGATTCCAGTGACGACGACGCACGTGACAGTATACTCGCATGCAACTTCCCCACCACAATTGAATTTAGACTGCCAGGTGGGCCCTTTAAGTTTTACACTTCCTTCCTTATAAAATGGACCTTGTCACATGCCCAATTTCATGCCATCATTGCAGCGCCCCCTGACATTCCATATACAAACGATATGCTTACTTCACAGTGGTTTATCACAGCGATAATCAGGTGCAACACTCATCTCTTCAGTAACAACGAGCAACATGTGCATCATCACACAGTCACCACTATCACTGCTGCCCTGTCACCTATTAAATGGCAGCACACTTGGCCAAATGTTATAAAATAAATGCAAAATGTTGGGGACCACTGCAAACTTCTGAATTTCGTCAGTTCGCCAAGATTTCACACACTTGCCATTTCTTGAAATGCCACCTCTTAGTTTTTATGACCAACAATTATCGTGCCTGCGCACTACAATTCCTGATCATGCCCGTTTCTTCTCAATTTATAGTAAGACCTTTTGAAGTACAGTGGCCATAAAATGTCTTACAATACCACCTAAAGGGTATCTCGCACCGCCATCTATGCAAAGCTTTTAAAGGGCCATATTGGTGTGCTGGGAAACTCCATGACAGTGGTCAACTACATTTATGATTTGAGAATGCCTCCCAAATGAACTTCACGCCATTCTTCCAGTTCTTGATTTGGTTGTACAGTCACTATCTGTCCGATCTAGATGTATTGGAAGAGAACAGTACAAAACACTATTCTCTTCAGACTGTGGTGTTTACATGGTGTTTTACAGACATGGAGCCTAAAAAGAAGTAAATTCATTATACAGAGGTTTAACAGCATGAAGAGAAGAGATGACCTGACAGCAAGTGATGTGATATGAAATTTCTAATAATGACAGGACAGCTTATGCTTCTTTCCTTCATAAATTTCTTATGGCGGTGCAAAATATTAAAAATATCAAACAACAAAAGCCCTTCTGCTTGTGGAGGCACACTGTCTTCCTGTTACTCTTGCCTGCATCATGTTTGTTCAGAGTTCTGACATAAAAAGAAAATTCAACTAAACAAAGTCATGTTTCTGCTTGCCATTAATACGCCTGTACACAGCTGCGCCAACATAAGAATGTGCTCACTTGCAGAGAGATGGTGCTGGAAGCCACTGCAGGATGTGATTCAAGGCGGTGAAACAATCGGTCAAACTCTGCATGTCTCTTGAACAGTTTGGAACTGCATTTTCCAGCTGCAATGCACGGACAGTGGCCTTTGGCTTGTCGCGCACGCAGGTCAGCTGGCCATCGCTATAAACCCAGACAGACGCTCCACTCGAGTCAGTGCTTGAAAGAACACGGTGATGCCGCTTGCTTTTCGAGCGCAAAGGTTTAACAGACTTCAGAGAACAAGGCACAGGAATTTTTGGCACTTCCTTTAGTTGTACCTGTTCGGTGTTGGCTGCTGGCTTCTCAACTGTAACAGTTTCATCAACAGCATTGGGAAGATGGTGCTGCGTATTTCCCACAGCTCCATCCGCTTCAGATACATCACATGATTGCCACAAGCTTGCCTCGCTGTGCTCACCAGCCAAAGAATATGAGGAAGTGATGATGCACGATGGTTGTGGGTCTACAGGCAGTGTGTCAAGTCCATAAATAGTCTCACCTTCAGTGATGACTTGAGATGCATCAAATGCACTCACTTCACAGTCTGGTGGACCCAAAAACACTGCACCTAGTTTGCTGCTCTCAGTACCAACAGGCTGAAAAGAAAAAAAAAACATTTAATCATAAATTGTTATGACACTCCTTCCCAAAAACGATAAAGGAACCAGAGTGTAAGTCACAAAACATGTATGTCCATGGTCATTCTAAGCAATCTCAATTCTATTTTACAATAGTAATGAGCGGCAAGTACTTGTTGTCGTCACACTTACTAGAGAGATATGCTGCGTTTCATACATTTGGTGTTACGATGTGGAGACTAGTGAGACTTCTTGTTAGTAAATGCATTTACACAACAGATGTAGTTCCAAGTTTCTTATCACCAAGACTTAAGATTTTTCTTCTTCAGACTCAGTAATACATGAAGATGTTTTGTGCCTCATAAATGCATAAGATATGTTATATGTCTAAGATTGTTCTTCCACAAACTTGGTGTTTCATTGCTTTCAGTTTCTTGTAGTTAATTAGCAGCCTTTTCCAACACCTCATGCGGGGACTTGTACTCTTGCTTACGCAAAAATTTACAACCGCGAAAGCTAACTGCAAGATCCATTTGCTGGCCAGACTTCTTCCACAGCTTTTTGAATACGAAGCATTTCTTTGTGTACTACAGCCACTTTGTCTGTCTGTCCGTTTGTCCATCCGTCCGTCTGTCTGTCTGTCTAACCGCCGTTTCGGTGCCCTTGTGACCACCCTCTAAAGGACCTGCATACCGCTCGAAAATATTTTTTTTATTGTGGTGCAAATGAGAATAGAAGATCATTCATCACATTAGCAGCAATACATATGCTTTTATCCCATATAAAACAAATATAATTTTAACTTGATGTTGAAAGGTGACAAAAAATTACTCCGAGAATTACCCAACATAGGTATGGTAAATCTACAGGTAGAGCAAGAAATCCTCGCAGGTGACCTGTTTAGCTTAAAAACAAATATGTGTATCTTGAAATTGTATTTTAGGCACTTTAGAAAGCTTCAGGCTGCGTCGGAGATTTATTTTTGTTTTTTTCTTTCTCGTGCATTCAAAGAGGTGCTTGGTGACGTTGCCGGCGGTGTGTTCATTTGCCTGCATGCCTGCCTGGAAACGGCAAGGAAACACGAGCACGGCATCCACCGCTGCTCATAATGGCAACAAAGAAGTGTGTGTGTGCCTTAAACGACCACTAAGTTATTTGTTTCCTCAATAAACAAAACTTGATAAAGCCTGAAAGACACGCACAAGGTTTCAGTTTCTGGCTTTCATGGGCAAATTGTTATCGCACTCACCGATCAGGTTTTAGGGCATTCATCTCATCGATAAAAGGAGGCCAAATGCAGATCAGAAAATAATGCTTTCAAAATTTTTACACTTTCTCAAGAAACCCCTGCAAGGTTAGACACTTCAGATGGTACGCTTGTTATTGTGACACAAAACAAAAAAGCAGTGAAGGTCAGCAGACAGTCCTTCTAACTTGGGGTAAACCAAAATTAGTATATTAAGGCAAGATTGTTTGGTTAATATGACTCGCTGGTCATGACACAAATAATGTCACAATCTCATCACGTACATCCTCAAACCCTTTCATCAGACATGTGACACATACCCGCGGCATGTGCACTAGGTATATGGTTAAGGGCCAGAAGTGATTGACAGTTTATATCTATCCCATATTGGCGAGAACTTTAGGTGTATCTCCCTATCGTCAGGTTAAGTGAAAAAAAAAAAAAGAGGAGGTCATATAATAGATTAAAACAAACTAAAAGCATGAACCACCTAAACAAGTTATCTAAAGCAACACAAGTATAAGCTTGCTATAAAATGAGCGAAAGATGCTTCAAGGCACTCATCGAGAAAATGACCACTAGTCCTAAGCCTTTTTGGAAGTTTTTAAACAGCTGAGGATTAGATTCTGTAAGAATAAATAAAATTATTTGTAATCAGCGGGTTCTTACAGATGATACCAAAAAAGAAACCTGTTTGAATAGCTAATTTTAATCTGTTTTTTAACTCAAATGCAGCATTGGTACCACTCCACATTCGAGCTCCATTCCAGCTACGGAAGGAGTAGAATTGAGTGTAAGATGTATAGAAGCACTTGTAAAAGACATAGATGAAAACAAAACAAATGGTCCAGATGACATATAGCCTCATACTACCGCACTGTGCTGTGCCCATTTCTATGTACCTTTGTTCAATTTATCAGAAATCACTGTCCTCAGGACTTCAAACTGATGACTGGAAAACCGCTCATGTTGTTCCCACTCATAAAAAGAGGTTCGAAAACAGACATTGCAAACTATAGGCCAATACCACTAACATCTATCACTGCAAAATCATTAAGCACATTGTATATATCATCATTTCATGTAAACAATAATGTTATAATAAAAGAGCAACCCAGGTTTTGAAAAGGTCTTCTCTGCACAACTCAATTATTTGAATTTTATAACAAATTGGCACTTGATATTGATGAAAGAAGTCAAATAGATTGTGTTTTTTTAGACATTTATAAGGCATTTCACTCTGTATCACATCCCCTTCTACTCAGTACACTCAAAATGTTATAAATAAACTGTTTGAATGGTTTGAAAACTATTTGTCTCATCATTGCAAATGTGTTGTTTTGAATGGAAAGAGCTTGCTGTACCTTGAAGTGACCTCAGGTGTCCCACAGGACTATGCCTGATGACCCATTTGTTTTTAAATTATATTAACCTGCAGGAATTGATTTATGCAGATAGTTTGCTGATGATTGTGTTTTTTATAGGAAAATCAAGTGTGACCAAGATTCTGCCATGTTACAACTGGAGTTATAATGTATCGATGAATGGTGTTCCACGTGGAAGATGAACAACCTAAAAAAGTGTCCTTGCCTAACTGTCGGTGCTGAAAAACTTTTACGAAAAAAAAAGTAAAACTGATCACAACTAATCTCCAGATAAACAAGACCTTGATAAAAACTGAACATACATATAGGTACTTAGGTGTCACATTATTATCTGATTATTGCTCACGGTCTGCTCATGTGAACGATGTCATTGTTAAAGCTGGTAGGGCACTCAGTTTTATTCAGTGAAATCTGAAATGTTCGTAACGAAACCTCTAAAAAACAGCCCATTTAACACGTGTTAGACAGATCTTGGAATACACGTGTGCTCTGTGGGACCCTGCTAAAAACAATTAAATCAATCAAACTGGAAAAAATACAAGACCATGCTGCTAAGTTAGCGCTGAGATGGTATGGACGGAACGAGAGTTGAATGGAAATGAAGTGAGAATCAAACTGAGAACTGCTTTCTTCTCGAACCGGAAAATTGAGACAAAAGTTTTCATATCTCATTTATAATAACAAGACTGGAATAAGAAGCAAAAACTATCTCAAACAACTGCATTACATTTCAAAGTGTATAATGTCTATTGTTCAGAGGAATCAGCTGTGTGAAGAGCAAGTGCACTCTTATTGCGATAGCAATTATATGGACACTTTTGGCTGATTCTTGCTGCTGCCATCATGTTTTGAATATGTATATATATGTATTTGTGTGTACATAAAAGGCCCAAAATAATGTAAATCAGAAAAAACAAATTCCAAGGCACACAATTGGCGATTCGAACCAGTAACCCCTCACTCTTCAGTGCGCTGCAGTTAACCAACAAGGCCGCGCTGCTCATGCTATCCATCTCACTAAGAGCAAGCTATACATATACAGTAGACTCCCTTTAACATGAATTCGAAAGGACCAGTATAATTTGTTCGTTTTATCAGGAGTTCACTTTATCAGAAGTGCCCCCAAAAACCAATGCTAACATGGCAAGTGCGCCCAGATATGTTGCTTGAAAACACTGGAATATACTTACAGTGGGCAGAAAAAGAACAAGAAAAAGCATTTATTTGGCTCGGCTTTATAAAAACTATGCTTTCAAGTAGAGTATTTGAAATACACCAATCTAACGAGTACTGGATTTTACAAGTTCATAATATGCTCATGAATAAATTGCTACCACATTTTAACAGTGGAACTGTAGCATGACTCTGTTTTCACGATTAGAAGAAAGTTAAAGGAGACAAGCTCAAGTAAACTGACTTTTTTTTTTTCATTTTGCTGTCTCTTGTTCGCCTGAATGCCCCCATCAAGAGTAATGTTTGTAGCGCAGAATTTCGGTCGTCGGTTGCTGTGAGAGTTCGTCTTAACAGAAAAGGCGTGTTACGCAGTTCGTCTTAAGCAGATTTTATTTGCACTGAGTCTATGGAAAACCAAACAAACATTACCGAGTTGTTCGTCTTAAGCAGGAATTCGTCTTAACAGAGTTCTTCTTAGAGGGAGTTCACTGTACATCATTTGCCACTGGCTGGCTTACTGTGGACAGACTTGAAGAAACATTCTTGAACAAAGCTTTTATGTCTTGCTTGTTGTTACACAGCCTAACCAATCAGACAGCTTGTTCTGCCAAAAGATTTCTGCCTCAATATTTCCTTGTAGCGCCATCTAGTGATACTTTAACAAAAAACACAAGCTTGTAATATATCGCCTCTGTGATTTAGCATCCTTTGTCACATGTCCTTGAGGCCACATGTTTGCCAATAGAGTCATTCCTGCTAAGTACCCCGATTACCTTGAGTGTAGTTTTCCCTAACAAACTAAAACCATCATGAGCCCTTGCCGTAGAGACAAATGATTCATTCTCCCATCAGTGATGACGTTTTAGTTCGATGGAAGTGGCTGCAATCTGCGCGTTGGTCACTCTGAAATTTTTTTTACATCCTGAAGCGATCGATTTCTATCTCATGCCTTTTCAAATAAATTTTAACCGCCGATTTCATGGCCGATCCGTCGTGGTGGGTAGGAGCCATATATCAACGAACAAGGAAGCCACCAATTAGCTTCTACTGGCCTCGACCTTCACACTGCAATGACTGGTACAATTTCAGGTGAACGTTTTGGTGAAGTGCATTGGAATTCTACTTTTTGCTACCATCTCCGGTATCGTCAGTATTTACTGACACCAAAAAAAAAAAAAAAACACCAGGCAAATGCCAGTGAAAATGCTGTATGT